CGAAGTAAATGGGAGAACCACACACTCTTTGTCGAGTGTTGTGAGATGCATGCACAAAGTTGCTTTGCTAACGCTCTGATGTGCTTTCCAGCCCTGCTGCTTGGACATAGTGATGTCAATAGTTCTACAATGCAAATTATACAGGCGCATCATTCGATTGATTGGGCTAGTTTTTACATATGTAGTTGGTTCTGAACGATTTTTCAGAAAATAAATTACACGTTCTAAGATGTCCAGGTGTGTAAAAGTTTAATTGTGCGAAAATTTCTGCCAAATCTGTGCGCAGAGAAATAATGTCGTTGATGAAGAAAAGCATTGCAAATTGGCGGCGTTCGTATATTGATGAGCATGCAGGGCGCTTCATAAGGTGGTAATGGAAATGCAGTCCAATTCCATTTACGTAAAGCATATTTTTTTTTTTTGTTAATTACTTTATTTGTACAGGCTCAATCGAATAAACTTTACAGAGCCAAGTTATCATTTTCTTTATACATTATAAATGTCTTAAATCTAAAATTAAAGGATTTGAACCGATTACTCGCGGTCTTCTCGAGGTTAGTGGATGACAATTTCTTTGGATCGGGAGAGGGAAAAGGAGATTTGGAATATGATTTATGATTAAAAAATTTCACTATTTCTAAAACATATACTTAATCCTATCGACGTTATATCAACTCTGTAATTATACAATTATTACAGAAACAAATCTACAAAAAAAAAAAAAAAAACACACGCACACATACAAAATACAAACTAAACACAAGGTTAATCAAACTTACAATCTATGGTTAATATTCTTCAAGAAAACATATATGAGTTGCATAAACTCCAGATCGCGTCTAGCCAAAATATCCCGAACTGGAACATTAGGTTGTCTACCTCGAGCCCGAAGGGAATCGTACAACTCGGATCTGACTCCACGGTGCTCAGCACATGATCAAATAATGTGATCTGCGTCCTGGTAACCTTGTCCACATTCACAGAGATTACTGTCCCCCAGCCCAACACGGAACAAGTGAGCGCTTAGTGAATAGTGATTGGACATGAGGCGAGACATCACACGAATGAAGTCTCGACCCACCTCCAAACCTTTGAACCAAGGAACGTAAAGCATATAAAAGGAATTGTTTTTGGACAGATTCTATGCGTTCTTCGTGTATGGAAATGTATGGATTCCAAACTAGGTGGAAGTATTCCAGAATTTCTCGTACATATGTGGTGTATTATAGCTTAATAGTGTATAGGTCTTCAAAATTATTGAAGCTTAGCATTCTGTTTACTTTACTAATGATAGTATTATAATTTTCTACAAAAGTTAGTTTGAAGTCTAGGATTACGCCTAGATCTCATACAATTTTGCATTTTTTCTACTATTTGGTTGCCTAATGATATTTCAATATGCGATGTGTCAATTTTTCTACTTAATGCGATTGCGGTACATTTTTTAACGTTCAGTTGAAGTAGACTTTTACTACAGCAGGTGTTGAATGTATTGATTTTATTCTGGAATTCTTCTACATCGCTAGAATGACTTATTTCCATCAAGAGCTTCATGTCGTCTACATATACAAGCAGTTTTATTATCTTAAGTAAGTAGGAAATGTCGTTTATGTACAAAATAAAAAGAAGTGGGCCTAAATGAGAACCCTTCTGGTTCTCATTTCTGGAGGTTTCTGGAATTGGTTCAGAAAGTTTATTTTGAAAGCGGACTGTTTGTTTACGATATGTTAGGTATGATTGGAACCAATTCAAAAGTCCTGGCTCAATTCCAATTTTCTGCAATTTGATGATTAATAATGGTATGTCGATGCTGTCAAATGCTTTACTCAGCGGCGCCGGTGGTGTAGTGGTAAGCGCTATTTTTCTACCCCGTAACGTGGGTAGATCACCTTTTCGTGGTACGTTACGGGATGTAAGATCTACCACCGATTCCTAGTCTTGTCTACTTCAGACTAGGGGAACAGGATTTTTCAGTAATCAAAGGAACACATCTTAGTCCTTGTTACTTTTTATGCCTTGTTGATAGTGACAAGTCCCCGGGTTGCCTTGACCGAGGATGATCTTGAAACAAGGAAAAAATGAGTTAGTGATTCCAAATCTTCTATTCATTGTTCCCTAGTTTGAAGTGGTTAAGACTAGGGTTCTGATGCATGGTCATTATCGGTGTCATTGCTTGTTTTTGTTGCTAAGAGATCCAATTTTGATTGACAAAGGAGCGCGCCTTTGGAGGGTGTTCCAACACTCCGAAGGGTATAAATAGCGGGACCTTTCAATTAGAGTCGGATCCTTGCGATAAATGCGAGAATGACAACTGTAAAAAAATCGAATGCTTCATCATTTCTCAATAGTGATGGAGTAATACGACATGCACTAAACTAAGGACACGGGATATACTACAATCACAGCTACAATAGATCAAATTACTGGTCGCAGTAGTTTTATGTCCCGAACAGAGGAAAAAAAATATGTACGTTAAAAACCCTTAGCTTTTATTATGTGTCATTACTGAGAAAAACGTCTTTTTCAGTTGCATGATCGACGAAAATGTCAGACGTCACGCGTTGTGTTTGTTTTGTCTAAGGATTCGGTTTTTGAAATTTAAGTTTAATCTACGTTGTTTTCATGTTTTTTTTTCTGGCTAAAATCAGCACATTTGGCAGGCATGCAATTAGTTTTGCTCGGTCTGACATTTCTCTCCTGGCATAATATCAGCATTCTCAGAAGCTCTTGTAAATCTTACCACAAACTTTTTACTGGCCGATTATGTTGTCCTTTTTGAACTTAGAACAGCATTTGAGAATTTTATAAGATAGAGTGCAACCTTTAAGTGCTTGCTGTTAACTGATGTGACAAGCGAGTACTTTTGCGCTCGTGTAAAAATGTACTCGCTTATGAGCCCATCTGGTTTCATTTCACGTATCCTATCGAAGATCAATTTTTTAAATGTTTTCAAGCTACCAACGATTAATTTATGATGCAATGAAACTACTTTAACATCAGTGCTGGATTGTATTACTAGAAGTAGCAATTTTGGCAATTTTATAAATAAGAACGATATGCCAAAACCGGCAATGTAGCTTTGTTCAAACTTTACCGACTATAAGTAAAACATTTTATTTTGCTGAAAAATCTGTAATCTTCGTTTACCGATTATTTTCGGTAAAAAATATTGAACACGGGAAACTTGCAAGCTTGCTATATCTGAGTGTGTAGACAGTTTTTGAGAGATCTTCCTAAATTTGTTAAACATATGTTCAACTTTATTGCATAGTTTCTTATACGACATTTGAACCATTTCAAATCAACAAACAAACCCGCCATGCTGCATTGCATCATGCTAGCTGCATTGAAAATGACGTGATGATGCTCGTGTATCTTTTTACACAACTATCGATAATTGTTTTCCATATTATAAATCAAAATATCATTCCTGAAATTTCAAATTCAAATAGCAAAGCTAGTTTTTGTTTGAATCGAGACTGAGGAGCTAATAAATCACCTCGAAGATGGAAGTTTGTCGATTTTTTCACATGACCCTGGACGGATCATGAGATCTTGGTTACTTTTTCAAAGGGACGTATCTGCTTTTTTAAACAATTGATTCAAACGTCAATTTGTTGAAACTCTTAGTATTCCCACTCAAAAATACACCAGAAAGGGTAATGTTTCCCCAACAAGACGGTGTTTTTAGTTTGCGTGGGAATGCTAAGAGTTTTGTTTACAATACCAGATACGTCCATTTTAAAAAGTAATCGAGAGTTTTCCTTCAACCTCGGTTAGCAACTAGGGAGAGAAAAGGAACATCGAGAGCTGGCTCCTGTTGGTATTTTTTTCACATCCCAACCCGGTACGTGTCATACTTCCTTTTCCATTGGCATTGGAAAATTGTAATGTGTTTGGCCTTCGTGGAGCACGTCGGGAAAATCCAATATTAATCAATATTCCGAGAGATTTGCCGTGACATTGATTCGTGTTTAAAACAGTGCTACTCATCGAATGGTTTGCTAAATATTTGCCTCAAATTTCCAACAATGCGTGTAATCCAATTAGCGTCACAATATGCCGTTTGGCTACTGAAAATGATTGAAGACACTCCCTGTTACCGGCCAGCGGAAAATTTCCGGTGTGGGTGGAAAGGGTTCACCGTTTAGCCATTCTGTTTCGTTTTATACATGTATGGTTGAGCTCTACTTCGCTTGGAGATTCACATTTACGTTACTCTGTGGCTCGGTTCTTGTTAAGGAAGGTATTATTTCGCCTAGTAGCACACAGCCACAAATTCGTGGCACTCGGGCTATATCGGGGGATGCCTAGCATGTACAATCATATGTATATATTTTCTCATTCCTCTTGGTTGGTACATAAGGGGCTGTTCATAAACTACGTCGACAGATTTTAAAGGTTTTAGACAATCGTCCATACATTTTTTTTTGAAATTTGTATGCACCGAGACACCAATTTGTATGCACCGAGAGGCCAGCCCGCCCCCTAAGTGTCTACGTAGTTTATGAGCAACCCCTAAGAAGAATGTATATATAAAAATGGATAAATACAAGGAAAATATAAGGGTGTATAACGATCCACTATGGGATGAAAACTGCTGAAGGACCGTTGGGTAGACTCCAGTCTACCAGAACAACCCTATCGAAATAAAAATCGCTTCACTGAAAAGGCTGGTAAAGGAGAATAAAGTTCATCTTCGTATGAAACTTTCTATCACGCTGATCTACTAGTTGGAAGATGCAAGATGTGTTTACTCATTCATAAAGCGTAGGAGTTTTGGATTCTTTTTCTTCTGCTGAATCGGGATTCTTGAGGTGTAAATATTTAAACTTTTTATAGCTATTGAGGAACAGGTCAAGTGAAACTATTTAGCATACATAATCGTCTAATTAATTGATGCATCGGATCTCATATCATTATGCATTTGCTGCTCTTCCTCTGACAAATGCATTACATAATTTCCCGACTAATTTCAATTTTCTTTTTTATTTCTGTAGGTTGTCGGTGGAGCATGTGGCTATCATGGACCGTACACATTCTACAAAGGCGTTAAAATCACATTTCCCAGCACTGACCCCTTGTCACCAGGAGAAGGAGGAGGAGGAACAGGAGCAGCATCAGCAGTGACAAACGTGTCCTGTTCATCGACATCCTCGGTATCAACTGAGTCGCCATCATCACAACCATCGACGGTTGCGCCGTCGTCAACGGTACCGGGAACGGTGCAATCGGCGGAACCTTCCGGTCAGAGCCAGGACACTACCAGTCAAAGCAGTAGCAGTAGTTCCGACAGCAGCTGTAGCAATAATAATAATAATAACAACAACAACAGCAAAACGCAAACCAACGCTAACTCGAAGCCAAAACAGACGCAACGAAAATGTGTCAGTGAAAATAACAGCACCGCGACCGGTGTGAATAATTTATGTAATGCCACGGCAGCGGAAAAAGAGTACGTATCGGGCCCATGCACGGACTTGGGTAGGGAAACTGAAAGGGAAATCCATGCGATGGTGGTTGGTGGGGAACGTTTTATGGATTTTGATTGAGTATTTGGGTGTTCATAAAGAGTGCTACTTGACTTGAGGGTTTTTGGTTGGGAAAAGAATGCAGCTCCAATTTAACGTGCTCAAATTTCAATCCGCCGTGTATTGATTCCATTCGTGGTTGCACATAGGAAAGATTCCACTGATGGGGCCGATGGCGGGTCATATATATAGTGATTTTGACCCTCGAATTAAATCAAAAGCTCAAATCAATAACCCGTAGTAACATTGATTTTGTGAGGATGGGAAAGACATCTTATGAAATATTCTAAAAGCTGTGAATATTGAGTTCACAAAACACAGTTGAAGCGTTTGAACAGTTTCTATGAAAATTGGCTTGTGCTGCTTTCGAGTAGGCGCATGCAAGAATTCAGTTTCATATACTTAACTAAAAAGTATGAATCGGATGAATACAGTCCATTCTGTTTTTAGCGATTTTTTTCGTACGAATGTTTTAACGTATGATATTGAACTACAACAACTTGTTTGAAAAAAAAATAGAAATAAACATCACCATGGTGTTTTGAATTTTCTGTGTTCATCCTAAATGAAGATAAAATCGGAGAAATTAAAATCGTGGAAAACCATGATAATTCAGATGAGTGTTGATGCTAGTCGGTATTAATTTGGCACGGCTAGATTTATCATATAGGGTACACAGCAAAAAAATAATTTTGATATCACGTCAAAGTGGATGCACTACAATCATGTCGAAAATATGGTGTAATATTACTTGCTAAAAAGGACAAAATTATCATTAATACAATGCATGAACTGACATTACGCTGCTTTTACTGCATTTGTTTATTTATGTGGTCATAAAAATTACATGAAATTTTCGACATGATTGTAGTGCATCCACTTTGATGTGATATCAAAATTATTTTTTTGCTGTGTAACTGATGATGGTTGGACTATTTCACACGACGTCAAAATTCATGTCGTATTTTTTTATGAATTCAACATATAATTATGAAAAATGCGTGCTTAGGGAAAAGATCTACATTTCTTGTTTATAATAATAGCATAAAAAGTTAAATTTTATGAACAAATGATTTTATAAAACGTTTTTATTCAGCAAAGAATTATGATGTTGGTTAGACCTATGCTGATCTTGGTTAGACCTAAACAATGATGATGGTTGAACCTATTTTTCTAATGCTAGTTTAGCCCATATTTGACCAAAAACTTTGTTTAGAGCTGATTGGTATCATGAAAAACCCTTTTTATACAGTTTTCATGAATTTGTTATTTAAAAAAAGACATCAAATTTGAGTTTCACTTCGTTTTAAAAAAAGTTTACTTTCTACGCATTAGCTATTCATCATGGCTCATTTTCTCGGAAATCACTGACCCGATTTGGAAAAAATTCAACGTCAAACTATAGGTATTGTGGTCCTACTGAAAGCTATCGAATATTTTTGGAATCGTTCAACTGGTTCCGGAGATATGGCCGAAAAATGTTCGAGAGTATATGGGGCATGGAAGGAATAAAACCTATCATGCGAACCATTTGCATTACTTCAAATGTTATAACAATATAGAGTGCCTTAGACGTATAACTCTTTTCTTTAACCATTTTTTCAAACGAAGGAACTGAGCACTCGGCCAACACGAAATCGAATTTCAAATCAGCTGCGAATTAAGGATGTAAACAAACCGAAGCGGTCGTTTTAAAAAACACCAGTGGCGTCGCGTCCACATGTGCAAATTCAAAATTCTGAATTTGTAAGAATCCATGCATGCAGAAAATAATTCATGTGAACTCCCTTTTCACGTATACTAGCTACTTGCAAGAAATGTTGCTTTCAAAGATGGATGGTTGTTTACAATATTTGGAATATTTAATTAATTAAATATTCCAAATATTGTAAACAACCATCCATCTAACAAATTTACACGATCTATAATGTTAACTTGTATGATACAATGGAAAGGTGATGCTTCAATACACTATTAAAATAACTGATTTAACACTATGAACCATAAAGTAATATTGTTGAAATTGCAAAAGACATTTTCAAAGCAGTGGTTGATCCGGTTGACAAACTGATCCAAACTCTAGAACGATTTGGAGATCCAGGAACATCTTATATACATGGAAATAGATCGTAAATGATGTACATTGACATTAAAAATACATTGTTTAGTTCGTGGTTGATCTCGTGATCAACAGATTTGATCTCCAGAACTGTTTTAAGCAATGCAGTAATGAAATTGGGTTGTTAGTGGAATGCTTTGAATAAAACAGCAAAAAAGGTTATCTTCCATTTAATTCCACTTAATTAATTTTGGTATCCATGACCGATACGTATTTCGACTACAATGTGCACTAAAGAACTTATCAAAACCTAATCCCCTAAGCTTTTGGGAATTTTCCTTATTAAAGATTTGTATCGATTCTTTTCCTTTAATTTAGTAAAACCTTTGGTTTTTTCGTTAGGTAGGTTCCAATTCTACACATTGTAGTTTCATTTTTATACCTGTGATGTGGACATTTTCCCTAGGGGATGAGTACTTAAGGGGATTAAGTTTTGATAAGTTCTTTAGTGGGAATTATACTATTGAAGACTGCACATTGTAGTCGAAATACGTATCTGTCATGGATACCAAAATTAATTAAGGGGAATTAAATGGAAGATAACATTTTTTTGCTGTTTTATTTTGTTTGAAGAAATTAGAACATCTGATATACATGGAAATGTAGTAGAAATGATGATCATAGAATATATGAATATGGTTAGACGTGTGTCGTTGCTTTGGACACTGTTGAAGTCGTGGTTGATTTAGAAAATCATCTGATCTATCTTTTTTATCTAGTTCGTTTATTTGTAAGGCTTAATCACGTTAGCTTTATGGAGCCGACAATTCATTGTTCTTTGTTTGTAACAAAATTCATTTAATTCTATGTCTAGTAGGAGTTGGGCCGAATACTCGCGGCTCACCCGAGGTTAGAGGGTACATTGTCTAAGGATAGGAAAAGGGTAGGAGCTTTGGGGCAGGGTTTCGTTGTCTCAGAGTGATGTCGCCAATATGAACGGTACTGGGGTTCTAGATTCGTCATCATCTGATCTAAACTCCAGAACAATCTGGAGAACCTAGAACGCCTACACATGGAAAAAATTTGGCAAATGATGCATATGTTTGGACGCAGCAAATCATTTGAGAGTTCAAATGCAACATTACATGCGGTCATAACCTGCTGGCCAGGACACATCTAAGCCCTACATTGTGGTTTCAAGGCAGCAGGTTCGAACTCATTGTATCACAGATTTCAGTACTATAATTACCTTTTATTTTATTGCCTTCGAGACGCATCCTGCCTGCTTGGAGGTAGTACGTTTACTTAAAAATATTTACATGATCATTCTTCCTTTAGAGCTAACAAAGTTCAATTTAAAGTAACAATAACAATCATTTCAAAAGGCAAACAATAACGCAACTGAACATTTAAAAACATTACATCTGTGTTGGTATGTACAGTAATATTCAATGTGGCAGAGCCCAGTGCCGATGGTCGAACATAACCACGCATAATAATCACGGAAAGTAGTCAGAATCTATTTTGAGCCAAATCCAGTCCCCAATTGATGTCGTTTCGCGTGCCTCATTTGTTTACCTGTGCACTAAACATTATTCGTTACAATTTACCACCACATATTCATTTGGGTTTTATTTTTCAATGCTCCATGAATTTGAAGGATTTCTAAATTACTATATTAATCACTATCTCACGTAACATTTGATGGGCCTATGACCTTGTACGGCCCTTTTTGCGTGACCCGAAGTACGCCTACGCAAGCCAAGAACTCTATTGGGAAGGGGAGAATTTTAAAACTTAACATAATATATTAACATATATTAACATATTATGTACATTTATTCTTGTTTGTATCACAAGGCTAACTCTTTCGATTGAAGTGTTATAAAGAATATCTGCCAAACACTTTCGAAAACATTTTTGATTTAGGACAGTGTCGAAACCTAGAGAAAATTCATGAAGTCCCCAGGGTAGCAAACTTGAATTAATTAACTATTCATTGATCAGAACAACGCTATCAGAATGAACCTTGAGCTCTTGAGGTTTTTGCAGGCACAACTGGCACAACGACCGGTAATTGAGAAATTTGCAACTGGCAAGAGAGCGAGAGCGAATTATATTTTCTCGTCCTGCGCGGGAAGGCGGGAAAAATTAACATTTTGAGAAAGCGTTTGCAGTTTGCACTCCCTTTCTCTGTTACTCTGTTGCCTACAATCAGATATTCAAGTGCATAGCGAGAAGTGCACGCTTTAGGCACCCATACATCACCAATGTTCTGCTAATTTAAACTCACACATTGAAGCCGGTCTGCAAGTATGATACACGTCCAAAGCGTACCAGTTTCTGTGCTACTCCCGTTTAGCGTGTGCTTGTTGAAAAATTCAATTAAGACTAGTGGCGAACCGCCATGTTTAGTGGACAATTTGTAGTATGTTTCAAACATGCTTTAATTTTATCTCCAGGTGATAGAAAGTCTAGCAATCACTTAGCTTACATCAAGCATTTGACCATTCACAAACTGGCCGCCAGCCACCAAAAAAAAGCTCGCTTTTGGGTGCACTATTTAACGAGTTTTTTTTCCTTGATTTGCTTTCCGTCGATCTTGTTTTACGTACTGAGTACCAATGCTACCGACGCCATGAAAGCAGCTCCCGCGCAACTGGACCCTACCTATCGATCCATCAACTCATGGACAGGGGACCAACAATTACACTTACTTCTCTTCTGAAGAAAGGTGTGATCAAAGATTCTATGCCTCAGAAAATCCTAACGACGCTGACTGGGATTGAACGTAGGCCATTTGGGGTGAGAGGCAATCGACCGGCGCCGCTTGAATATTGTTTTTGATCAAAATTCCGTACTACTAAGCAAAATCCGCGGGTTTACCTTCCATTATTCGAATGGTTTTGAACAGAACAATTTAATATTTCTACTAAATATGACTTCTAAATGTATTTCCCTTTCCACATGTAGTATTAGACTTGATAAAGAATCTCAAATTGTTTATATTTTGTCAAACATATAAGGTACACCGGTTTAAGTTCTACAAATGTGATATTTCAGTTTTTTTCAATGTACAATAATGATTATTTTTAAATTTACAATGCACAGTAATTATCTACTAATATCTGCGCACAAGTTGAGGTACATAAAAAGCCAATCAACTTAACGAAAATCTGGGAAAGCAAATTCATAGAATGCGCAATAGGTCTCACTTTCCCCGTACACTGGGCCATGAAGGACCTATAACTATCCAAATATCTTAATATAATATAATTTATTACATGAATATATTTTTGAAAATTTAACATCCAAATTTATTATATTGCAGAGTGTTGCATACGAATAAAACAAGGAAACAAATGTAAACAAAGCCTAATGTCCCAGAGCCAAAGCTCTTGATGAGGAGGAATAAGTATGGATAAACAAATCCAAGCTTTACGTGACGTAATTTATTAATAATAACGTCTACTTTACATACACACGAAAGTTAACTTATGTTTTATTTATTTATTTATTCTTTCAACCACTACAAATGTAGGCAAATGTTTCTGAAATGAAGATTAAGTGTCCAACAAACAATTCAAAGTCACAAATAAGCATACACAATGAATAAATGCTGCATAACAGTGAACAATGCTGAATACAACAAGATGTCGAATTATGTGCTGAAAAAAGCTCATTGAGATCGATAGATGCGCCTTTATTCCGCCGTTTGCTCTATTAAAAGTTTTATAAACGCTGAATAAGTGTAATTTGCACATACATTGACGCTTTAATTCGACTGTTTTAAATTGATTAAATAAAATGCCTTATTAGACGTCTAATAATTGTTTTCTAGCTCCATTATTAGATTCCATTGCATTGCTTAGCAATATTGCTGAATAAAGGTGAATACAGTCAGCATAATAGCTCTTAAACCACTATGCGTCCATGTTTTAATTTCATGCTTTGTAAATGCTTTACAAACGGCGTATTCATTCATTATTCCACAACACTGCTTCAGGCTGACAACAAAACGAAATTGGTAGCATAGTGGTTACCGTTTCCGTTTTCCAAGTAAAAGGTCGTGAGTTCAATCCCAACATCAACCTTTTTTTTTATTTATTTTCTACGCCTAATTAATTTAAATCGTAATCATAGATCGTATCACTCACGACAACCAATTCATAGATCTACCGAAAAGAATAGCATCCTTTCCATCGAAATTAGAAAGATGGAGAGGAAACGTTGGTCTCATGTTGAACAACTATGGATGAATTAATCATTCTCACGTCTCCTTGAATTAGCTAGAGTTACGGATGGGAGTGCTGATAGGTTTTCAGATTCAAGCTTTTATTGATTATTTAGCTGCCCATATGATGTAATCTAGGATAGCTCAGATGGCAAGGCAAGCGGCTGGTGATCGGAAGGTCATGGTTCGAATCCCATCTAATAACATGTGTGTGTATGTATGTAGTAAATTTTCTAGTATCTGTGTGGTGGTGGGTGCGTGCTTCGACACAACAAATCACCAACGAGAAAAACAAACCCTGCTCTGTGCTGTGCCGTTCTTATTTTCGGATTAATTATCCCGTAGTTGAATAATCGTTTAATAAACGTATAATAGTGTTTAATTAAACATATTTCACATGAGAATCAAGCTTCTATAATACACATTTATACCATCGCTGTTTAAAGAAATAAATGATGTCTAATAAACGCTGAATAATCAAAAAAATGATCGAATAAAGCTCTGTTACAACTCTTGTACGTTGAATAAAAGCTTCTCGACATACCTTATTCAACACCAAATATTTCGATGTTGTGGTTAAATAAATTCTCCAGATTTGTGTGAACAAAGCCTGAACAGTTGCTATTATTAAAAATAGTACAAGTATTATTGAGCATGCAGTTGAATAGAATCGTCAAGAGGTCGTTTCTTCAATAGGCAATTGTTTGTTGGGTGTTCTTATAAAATAATTTAACATGCATTGTACAGTGAAATTGTTTGATGAAAGTACATAATTGATAGTTCGGTTCGTGTACGGCCGTGTGAAAATGTTTATGGAAGTTGAAAATGAGCATGAGCTTGTATGGACGATATAAATTGAGCAAGAATGTTGTTTACCAAGCTACCGATCAAATAGTAGGCCCGTGGGGAATCTATTACAGTGTCCGTTTGATTTTGACAACACGTCTCTAATGTGTACAACTAGATTGTCCTCTGCAGTTTAAAATCTTAAACTTTGCTTATTTGTTCCGACTGTCCAGATAATTGTAAAAAAATAGAAGTGATCAGGTTCGCATTTAAAAAAAAATGTGGAAAGCTAAAAAGTCAAAAAATCGTGTTTTGCCAAAATCAAACGGTTAATGTACTGGGTTTTTTCCCTTGTTTTTTTTTTGCCGTCAATTATGTTTTCCGTGCTCAGCACCAATGCTACCGACGTCAGGGAGGCAGCTTGCACACCTGGACCCTCATATCGACCCATCAACCCATGAACCGGAGACCAACGGCTTACTTCCATTCCAAAGGAAGGCGTAATCAGAGATGTTATGCCTCAGAACCCAGGCCTGCTGAAGTGAGAGGCAATTACGCTTACCACTACACCACCAGCGCCGCTAATGTACTGGGATTGAAACTAGCAAAAGAAGTCGTCTATATGCAGATATACACACTTAGAAATAACTAATTTTACACGTGACGGAATCCATCTTAGACATAAAAGATGAGACGAAAACAAACATGTCAGGTATGTTAAGTGCTCTGAGACTGAAAAGTTCGTTGCTCGACAAAAAGTACCTACGTTTGATTGAACTATATTTCGCGTCTGTTATGACTCAAACTTAAGTCAAAATTGACGCTCGTATATGTCACTGTCGGAGCATCTAAATTTACTGGAATTTTTCTAAGTGTGTCGTTTTAGCGATGTTTCGCTTTCTATTTCTCTTTCACTAAGTTATGTCAGTTAGGTTTTTAATGTTTCCTTACTGGATGGTTCTATTAGTACCACATAATGGAGAGTTGTTTATATTAAATAAACACAATTTTAAGCTGCTCAAAAGTTGGTATAAAGCTTGGAAATTAGTTCACAAAAGTTAAGCAACACGATAACATTTATTTTCCTTCTCTTATTCCTGCAGATCCCTGCTACCGATGGTGTTGGCCCTGGGGGATTGCTTCCCAGTACGGCCATGGTCGGACTCACCGATTACGTGCCTCGCCGAGCTGCGGATGGTCTGGAAGGATCGAAACGAGCAATGTCTTTTGATTGCCCTGCGACTTTACTTCCTGCCAGAAAACACACCGTTCGGCCGGAACTGCCATGGAGAGGTAAGTTCAGGAATAATGATTTATCGAATAGTATCTTAATTATTATAATATTAAAAACTTTGTAACAACACTTTCCATTTTTGAGGAAAATGGGCCTAATGTCATGCACATTTCAATTTCCATCAAACCACATTGCACGGCTAAATAGATTGCTGGGCTGATGAGAGCCGTAGACTTTCTGTTTTGCTACCCAAAAGTTTTGCCCCGACGACCGCTTGCAATGTTTGCCTTTATACGTATTTCTGTTCACCAACCACACTCTCGCTCCAGTTGCTAGCATACTTTTGCGCTTGTTTCCCAATCATGCTTGGTGGGTTGGGTGTAGAAGTGAAAGATAACAGGGTGAGTCTATCTGATAAAGCTGTCGTGAACTTATCGTTAGACATTTTTATTCTCAGATTGCACGTCTAGTTTCAAGCAGCAGCACTTTGGATAGAAAAATAAAATTCTATTTATTAGTTTTTTAAATTAGCTCCTGAGCTATGAGACACCCTGTTGAGTATCTTCGCTGCGCATGGATATATTCATGCGAATGGCTGATGGCACTGCAAAATCTGTTCCATCTCCATGATTTTATTATCAATGGTTTAGATTCAAAAATAACATTTACTAGCGTCTACGGTTCATACAATTGTATGAACGATTGTCAACGCAGGGGGTTTCTCAAAATCGGCCTACGTAATTTATGAACAGCCCCTTATGAGGTTATCAAAGTTCGTAAAGCAGATTAACATTTCACTGCCACTTCTCATCATCACTCATCGGAGTTTGTGATTTATGCCATATTAAAGGCGATATACTTGATAGGGAAATCTAATAGAGGTCCATGTGTAACAATTGCTTCATTGCGTGACAAGAATAATAATGTTCATTCGCAATCCGCGAACAACTGGTACTTTTTATTTCAAAACCGATTGCTGGAACTATTATTCACACCAAAGTTGTTAGGTTGTAAGATAAATCCCCATCGATTTATCCTACGCGCTTCGTTCTTCTTTTTAATAAGACTATTTGTCACAAATCATCCATCTTCCTTTAGAAAACCGGATAATAGTTTTATTCCAAACAGTTTCCATAATACAGTCAGGAATCCTTATTGCCGGGGTAACGGGGGCGTGAATAAGGAACCGCGAATAAGGATACCCACAGCTTATGGGATTTTCACTAATGGGGGCTGTAGTGGATTATCTCATTTGTTTCAATACATAAAGCTATACTGTCTTCGACAAAGTTGCTGTACTGGGTTATACCAACAAGCCTGTGCCATTGGATTCGGGTTTAATTGAGAACTACGCCGCTAGAGGCGCTTCACTTTTATGTTACTTATGACGGGTGCTATAATATATGGATCATATTTCCAACATAGAATATTTCGTGATCCTGACCATATAGAAAATTACTGTCTACAGCAAAGTTGTTCAGGTGACCAAGTCCTTTCGGATGGTGGCCATATTAGTTCAGAACTCTCTCACTACGCAGCGCTAGTGTGCATATGCAATTCCTATATAAACTGTATCTCGAGAGCCTGGCCATATAGAAAGTTGCTGTTTTGAGCAAAGTTGTGCAGGTGATCAAGTCCTTTTGGATGGTGGCCATATTAGTTCAGAACTCTCTCACTACGCAGAGCTAGTGTGGATGTGCAATTCTTATATAAACTGTATCTCGAGAGCCTGGCCATATAGAAGGTTGCTGTTTTCAGCAAAGTTGTGCAGGTGATCAAGTCCTTTTGGATGGTGGCCATATTAGTTCAGAACTCTCTCACTACGCAGCGCTAGTGTGCATGTGCAATTCCTATATAAACTGTATCTCGAGAACCTGGCCATATAGAAAGTTGCTGTTTTCAGCAAAGTTGTGCAGGTGAGCAAGTCCTTTTGGATGGTGGCCATATTAGTTCAGAACACGCTCACTACGCGGCACTAGTGTGCAAGTGAATTTCCTGTATAAGCTGTATCTCGAGAACCTGGCCATATAGATGGTTACTGTCTTGAGAAAAGTTAGTCAGGTCACTAAGTCCTTTCGGATGATGGTCATATTATTTCAGAACCCTCACACTACGCGGCGCTAGTGTGCACATGAACTTTCTTAATATGTTATGACTCCAAAGCTTGTCCATATAAGATGTTGCTGTGCAATGTGAGAACAGGAACCGGAAAAGGGATGACGTGTAGAGGCCGGAAATCGATGTCAGATGCCATTGTGGAATCCAAGATGGCGGCCATCGGTTCAAGAAAAACTGTCAAATACCGTACAATATGGATATTTTTGGAAAGAGGATGACGTGTAGAGGCCGGAAATCGTTGCCACACGTCATTTTGGAATCCAAGATTGTGGCCATCGGGTCAAGAAAAACTGTCAAATACCCTATAATACGGTTATTTCCGGAAAGGGAACGACGTGTAGAGGCCGGAAATCGATGCCAGACGCCATTTTGGAATCCAAGATGGTGACCATCGGGTCAAGAAAAACTGTCAAATACCCTACAATATGGGTATTTCCGGATAGGGAACGACGTGTAGAGGCCGGAAATCGATGTCAGACGCCATTTTGGAATCCAAGATGGTTGCAGTTGTTGTTGTTGCCTGCTTTGATAAAATTTACACAAAAATCAATTTTACGGATGTTCCGGATCTTCTCACGGACCATCTGGTGACTACTCAGAGCCATTGAACAGCTAATGTATCTAAAATCACCATTTTACTACACTCCACATAGTTGCAGAGTAAAATCAAGGCCTAATTTGATCAAATTTACACAGCAATAAATTTATCAGATTTTCCGGATCTTCCAGCGGGTTATGTCGTGGCCACTCGGAACAATTGAACCACTAATATAACAAAAATCACCATTTCACTAAATTTCACGTAGTTGCAGATCAAGGCCTACTTTAATCAAATTTGCGCAGCAATACATTTTACGGGTGTTTCGGATCTTTCGGCGAGCCACGTGGAGCCAGTGAACAGCTAATATATTAAAAAATCATAATATTACTACATTATATACAGTTGAAATTAAAAATCAAGGCATACTTTGATGAAATTTACTTAGCAACCAATTTTACGGATGTTCCAGATCTTTCGGTGGGTCATCTGGTGACCATTTGGAGCCAATGACCAGCGAATATTTCAGAAATCACCATTTTACTGCATTCCATATAATTGCGGAGGAAAATCAAGGCCTACTTTGATCAAATTTACACAGCAATCAATTTTACGGAAGTTCCGTATCTATCAGCGGGCCATCTGGTGATAACTCGGAGCCATTGAACAGCTAACATATCAAAAATCACCATTTTACAACATTTCTCATTGTTGCAGAGACAAATCAAGGCCTACTTTGATCGAATTTATGTAGCACTTAATTTTACGGATGTTTCGAATCTTCCGACGGATCATCTGGTGACCACTTGGAGCCATTGAAACGCTTATATATATCTAAAATCATTAATTTACTACATTTCATATAGTTGCAGAGAATAATCAAGGCCTACTTTGATCAAAAATACATAATAATCCAGATTAAGGTTGATCCAGGTCATCGGAAGGCCTTCCGGTGGACGCTCAGTATTTAGAACCAGGTTATGGGTTGATCGCCATATGGTCGCCATCTTGGATTCCAAAATGGCGTCTGATATCGATTTTCGGTCTCTACACGTCGTTCCTTATCCGGAAATACCCATATTGTAGGGTATTTGACAGTTTTTCTTGACCCGATGGTCGCCATCTTGGATTCCAAAATGGCATCTGGCATCGATTTCTGGCCTCTACACGTAGTTCCCTCTCTGGAAATACCCGTATTATAGGGTATTTGACAGTTTTCCTTGACCCTATGGCCACCACCTTGGATTCCAAAATGACGTCTGGCATCGATTTCCGGCCTCTGCACGTCGTCCCCTTTCCAAAAATATCCATATTGTAGGGTATTTGACAGTTTTTTTTTGAACCGATGGCCGCCATCTTGGATTCCAAAATGGCATCTGACATCGATTTCCGGCCTCTACACGTCATCCCTTTTCCGGTTCCTGTTCTCACATTGCACAGCAACATCTTATATGGACAAGCTTTGGAGACATAACGTATTAAGAAGTTCATGTGCACACTAGCGCCGCGTAGTGTGAGAGTTCTGAAATAATATGACCATCATCCGAAAGGACTTAATCCTCTGAACATCTTTGCTGAAGACAGTAACCTTCTATGTGGCCAGGTTCTCGAGATACAGCTTATACAGGAAATTCACTTGCTCACTAGCGCCGCGTAGTGAGCGTGTTTTGAACTAATATGACCATCATCCGAAAGGACTTGATCACCTGCACAACTTTGCTGAAGACAGTAACCTTCTATATGGCCAGATTCTCGAGATACAGCTTATACAGGAAATTCACTTGCACACTAGCGCCGCGTAGTGAGCGTGTTCTGAACTTATATAAACATCCTCCGAAAGGACTTGCTCACCTGCACAACTTTGCTGAAAACAGCAACTTTCTATATGGCCAGGCTTTCGAGATACAGTTTATATAGGAATTGCACATGCACACTAGCTCTGCGTAGTGAGAGAGTTCTGAACTAATATGGCCACCATCCAAAAGGACTTGATCACCTGCCCAACTTTGCTCAAGACAGTAATTTTCTATATGGTCAGGATCACGAAATATTCTATGTTGGAAATATGATCCATATATTATAGCGCCCGTGATAAGTAACATAAAAGTGAAGCGCCTCTAGCGGCGTAGTTCTCAATTAAACCCGAATCCAATGGCACAGGCTTGTTGGTCTAACCCAGTACAGCAACTTTGTCGAAGACAGTATAGCTTTATGTATTGAAACAAATGAGATAATCCACTACAGCCCCCATTAGTGAAAATCCCATAAGCTGTGGGTATCCTTATTCGCGGATAGCCCGGCAATAAGGATCCGGCAATAAGAGATACCGGCAATAAGGAATCCGGCAATAAGGATTCCTGACTGTATATTACACCTTACTTCGCATTGCACAACCAGTCAGTA